TTGCGAGTGCAGGGTTTCCGTTTGCAACGGTGTTACATTAAATTTCAGAGCACGGACGAGTGGTCTGAGTACTTCCAAGGCACTTCATGAAGAGAGGCCACAGATGCACCCTCGCTTTTTCTAATACGAGTCGTAGAGAGCAGTCATCAGTCACTGATGACAACCTGCAGGAGTCTTTCGATGAGGTTTGCCAGCAACTTGACACCCTGATCCTGAACGCTGGTGTGATGGCTTTGCCTGAGCGCAAGCAGACGGAGGATGGCTATGAATACCAGTTTCTCAGCGAAGGATGTGCATTCGTGGTGCCTACGCTAGAAGCTGGCTTTTTGTTCTCAGCTCAGCAAGCAAGAACTATATAACTTATCTAGTGCGCAGATGTGCACAACACAAGACAGGACAATCATCATATGTGCTTCAACCGGTTGTCCACCGGGGTGCTGTATCGTTCAACTTGCGCAGGCATGGGAAAAGCAACGAAAGACACCCCATGCAAAGTCTTCATGTTTGCTTGGCTATGCTTTGGAAAGATTGGAAAGCACACAATGGTACCCAAACACCGAGCTCTGTTTGCAGAGCACGGTGACATGGGCACGAAATGAAGATGTTTTTGATCATGGGACCTTTAACGTATGATGAATGGTCGGGCAAGCATAGGCCGCAACCAGCGGAAGGCTCCCGGGAGATGAGTTTGTCCTCACTTTGCACATTTTGTAAATTGCACAAGTTCCATTCTGGTAAGTCAAGGCCATCACTTGACATAGTGCATTTTGAGTCAGTGAGGTTTGGAGTGAATCACTTGGGGCATTTCCTTTTGACCAACCTTCTGATGGACAAGCTGGCTGCCAGTGGCAGTGGTGCGGATCCTTCTAGAGCTGCTGGGCAGACCTTGAGGGCACCATTGCCAGCTCGAGAAGATTGAGTAGTGAGAAGTAAAGATGAGTGAAGATGATCGGATCAGTGAATGGTGAAGGTCTCACTACTTGCTGCCATCATCCTTGTTGTTGGTGTGCGTTTGAAGCATGGCTGCTTCGTGATTTGTTCTCATCATTCTGATTTATCATTTATTATATTCCTTTTTGTTTTGGGGGCAAGTGGATGTGACAACTCTCAGCGTGAGGGCCTTGCAAACCGGAACACCTTCTTCATGTTCCCGTACTTGAGGTTTTTTGTGCGACACTTCCGGTACTCTGACAATTGAGACGACAAGAGACGGTCATGACGCAGACACAACACATGAGGGTTTGGCAGGTGACGAGGTTCGTGTTTCAGTATGTCGGTGTTCTTTCTGCGTTAGTGACTTTAGATGACTTTAGTGGATGTGGCTGAGGTTATTTCTCTGAGCTCGTCGGCTCACCAGATGCTTTGGTTGAGCATGGAGGTATATCCCGATCCCTTTGGGCCCAGTTCTCGAGCCAATTCATGGCAGTTGGCAGAAAGCACTTATATTGCTTTCAACTCCCATTCAGAACCAATCGGTATATATGAGAACACCTCAAATTGTCGTGGCTCTCTAGAGTTCGGCAGAGGGTTCCCAACCAGGATTTTTAAAGCTCATTGCATCGATATTCTTCTAGCGCGTAGACATCAATATCCCAAAGCAGATCAGAACCCTTGAATCTTGATATGGTGGGATTGAGGCTGCAAAGCCTTTGAGATGCCCGCGGGGTTTCCCGGTTGTGAAGAGATTTCACGGTACTACCGCGTGGTTCTCAAAATCTATATAAAGGTGGAAGATGGTAGAAGGCCGATTCCTCCAGGCATGTCCATTCCTTCACATCCCGGTGGGCCTGGAAAGACGGAGGGGATCAGTGAACTAGCCTGAACATCTTGGAACCTAGCGTGGCACTTGTTTCTAATAGCTTCTTGTTACTACTAGTAAGGCACCTGTTACTACTAGCGTGGCACTTGTTTCTACTAGCTTCTTGTTACTACTAGTAAGGCACCTGTTACTACTAGCGTGGCACTTGTTTCTACTAGCTTCTTGTTACTACTAGTAAGGCACCTGTTACTACTAGCGTGGCACTTGTTACTACTATGTCAAGTGTTTTTTACCACCGGTAGAGGTTGGGCATGTCGAAGGGTCGAAGGACGTATGTTTGTTGTCTCTGCCAAGCTATCAACCTGGGAGCTGCACATAGTTGCGACGTCTACTTTCTCAGGAGTGGTCGTGGTTGGATTGGGAACAAGTTGGAAGCGGAGAAGGTGTGTTGACTTCCACTTGAATGAACTTAAAAGCCCTACCGTAGTTTACATCCGGCATCAGAGCCATTCCACTAGACCACCCTGGGTTGCAAGACATTTGGATCAGCTGCTTCAGAGTTGTGAAACTTTGAGACTTCGAGAGCAGGCTTTTGATGTGTTTCTTGTGAACAAGAAGTTGTAGCTTCAACATCAACTGTTTCTCTAAGTCACGCAACGAATCACACCTGCATGACCCACCTTGACTGGGCGAGTACTCAGCTGATCAAAGCGCTGATGGATCAAACGTCGCTGAGGATCCCGTCCAAGCTCCTCAAGGGAGACCTTGGTAACCTGCAATCCGACGAGTGCTTCGACTGATGAAGAAATGGGATGGCATGGAAACGATCGACAAATGGTGGGCTACTTCTGACAGCATGGTGTATGGATTGCATACACACGCTGAAAAGTCTTTTGACCATTTTGTTCGTTGTTGTTGTTGTTGCATTCACACTCTCCAGCCCCCTGTGAACAGTTCTCGGAACAAGAGTGACGCTGATGGGAAAAGTCAAAACAAACACCCACTGCACCTAGGTATTTAGGGCCGTCGCATCAACCTTAGGAACGGCGCATTTAACTTTTGGAACATTATCATAATCATAGACCCTTGTTACTTGTTGTAGGTGTCAGAAGCGATCGGAATCATGAAAGGGACGGACACATTGACTGCTACACACTTGAGCAGCTGGGTAAGGAGTTGCAGAGTTTCAAAGCCGATTCTGCCCTGGCGCAAAGAGACTTAGTGTTGAAGCAGATTGCGGGTGCCTTTGAGGTACACACCTTGGGGTGCTTATGGCCAGTCCAAGTTGGCCAACCTCATGTTCGCTTACGATTCTCGCTGAAAAGTGCCAAGACTTCAACATTCCAGCTGTGCAAAGGCTGGGAGGTACCTCTGGAAGAGCGTCACTGTGGGTGTTCGGTCCAACGAACTTCGGACCAGATCTCCATGCAAGCGAGGGGAAGGCTTTGGGTACTTTGGTGTTTCGTTTGGACTGGATGCGTGGACTTTGATGTTTGTTGTCGGATTGGCGAACATCTATGAATCGAAAGTCTGTTTGGGCAACAGTTTGTCGGTTGCCTGCCATTTGACTCAGCCAGTAGCGCTCAGGGGAGGATATGTGCAAAACAAAACAAGCTCTGTAGGGACCACCACCGTGGTGGTTGACCCACCAGTACCGAGGAGTTGGATCGACGTTGTCGTGCAAAGGGCCTCCCCGTCACGGCGAACGCGATCCACCCTGGTGTGGTGCCATTGGCTGCAGATCTGAGGCATCGACCTCGATGAGAGATGTGTGAGCTAGACTCTGTCCCCTTCAGATCTATAGTCCCAGGCGGTACCAGATTCCAAGCTGGACACTTGAGTGGACAGACACGGACACGAGAATATTAATTGTAAGACTACTACTACCACCACCACCACCACGACTACTACTACTACTGCTGCTACTCCTACTACTACTACTACTACTACTACTACTCCTGCTACTACTACTACTACTACTACTACTACTACTACTACTACTACTACT